CTAAAAACGTATTTTTCAAACATTATTATTTTTATTTTATTTTTATTTATTTTGTTACTTTTTTTTTACGGTCCGCGACCTACCCGCACCACACTTGCGATCGACTGGTTGGCGACCACTGATATAGGGCTTACAGACGGAGCCGTTGGACCCCCAGAGCGTTGTGTATATCGCTCTACCCACCTTGGGACCCCCCCCCACAAAGCGGAGCAAGGCAACGAAACTTAAAATAATAAGCAGCATTTTACGGCGCGCTATGCATGGGGCCGCCTTGTGGGGTTTCCCGACATGTCGTTTCAGTAAATTAAAGGGTGTTTCATGTTGTCGTTGCTGTGAACCTTCTTAATACCTTGGAAAATGCCGTTTAATACTTTTTAATAGCCTTAATTTTCGCTAAATTGATTTATCAACTTTTAATACTTTTTAAGACCCCGCGGACACCCTGTTTCCTCCATACCCAAATCTCTAACAACGGGTCTGCAATGGATCTGATACAGACTGATCCAGATTTTAAATATCTCTGACGTCAGAAACGAGGAGCTCCGCCTATATGGGCAACTCTCCACCTATCAGGAGACAGCCACGGCCATTGCCGTTCGAAAGCGCTGGAGACGCTGTAGTACATATGTCAGGCTTGTAGGTGGTGCTGTAGTCTGACACAAAAGCAGCGAAGAAGACTTCTCACAGATTCAGCCCTTGCAAAAACAGGGCTAAAAAAGAGCAAATAGAGCGAAATGAGGCATGGCTAAAATGCATGATCTGTTTGGTATTTTTTTTTAAACGTTGCAGACATTATGGCCCTACAGTATATTATTAAAATATAGCATGATAGGTCCACTTTAAAGAAAAATGAAGCACAAAGTACAACAACTTTTAACAAAAGATTTGAAGCCCTACTGCGCATTACGGATGGCTCGTACCGTGCGTAGTTCACTGTGCGGTTGAACGTTGTTTGCCCTTCCATTCAGTGTGTACAGTTCACCTGTCCTAAATTATAGGGCCAAAACCACACCTACAGCCATTATAATTCATCGATACACAAGGAAATCTAAAACATCCTTTAACATCAAATTATAATCATTTTAACTTTTATTTATTCTATAATGAAGAAACTGTCACACTAACCAATTTCCCCCTGGGATTAGTAAAGTGTTTCTGATACAAAAAAGAATCAACAGATTTTTATTTTTATGTTGATATGTATATATTTACTGTTTAAATCTTCTTCTTCTTTATGGTTGTTTTTATTTTTAATTGTTTTATACATTAGGTCATTTGCAATGCCTTGTAACCTTGTAACATGCTGCTGTGGCAAAAATAATTTCAATTCAATAGTGTGTATCTATTCTCATCTCATCTAAACTCTGTCAAGACATCTCTAATAAAAGGCTGCACATACTGGTCCCTGGGAGGAGCCTCTGAATGACACAGCCACAGCTGCAACAAATCTTATAAATATGCAAAATGACTTCAGCAGCGTCCACAACAACGAGACAAAGATAAACAGTTTGTCTGACTGAAGCAGCACATGAGCTCAGAGGTGAGTAAGTGAGACAGATGTCTGATCTGTCTGCCGAAATCACCAGGTTCCCTCTATCCTGCCCCCACTAGGGGTCACTGTGGCTCTGCTCAGCCTCCCACTCACCCGCTCCCAGCTGCTGGCGGAGGATGGCTGCGTTCCTCTGCAGGGGGGAAGCGGATGACTTGGCCACGGAGAAGATGGTGGTGGAGTAGATGGAGGGGAGGAGGCCGGGCTGGGCCTGCTGAGGCACCCGCTGCCTCGCCTGCCCTGCCCTCTGACCCCCTGCCAGCCCCTGTTCAGGCTCCGAGGTGGCCCTCCCCCCTGCGCCTCCCCCCAGCGCCGTGTTGGTGTTCCTTAGCGGCCATCGGTTCTGGATGTGTGACACCGCCTCCTCGGCCACCATGCCGTCCCCCAGCGACACGTGCAGCATGGCGTGAACCGTAAAATCCTGAGACTCGTCTGCCCACAGGTCCGACACGCGGCACTCGTACACCCCCTCCTCCTCCTTCTTTACCTTGGACAGGCTGAGGCGGTGGGAGATGGCGCTGCCCTGGACACGCACGGTCTGGATACAGGTAGAGGAAGAAGGAAAAACTGAAATGTGTTAACGTCAGCTATATTCATGTCCAACGCTAGCTTTTTACTTCTGGCAATTGCATTTACGCTTCAAAAATCATACAATATGTGGAGATTTAAATATATAGATGCAGCTTCTGTGGTTTCACCATTTATATGCAGAACTATGTGTTTGAGTAAAATAAGCATTTTAAAAATATTGTCATTTAGGGATTTGTTTTTTACAGAAAAGAGTATCTGGTTGAAATAACTCAAATAAATTAGGTCATTTCAGACCTGAAATACTGCATAGAAAATAACGTCATGGTTCTTTTTAAACACCGCAATAATAATGGTTTATTTCAATATTTGGTAGAATAACCCTGATCTGTCGGCCCCTTGCTCTTGGCTTATCCTTCTGAACAAAACATGTAAGTATCATAAACGTGTTTCCCACAGAGCTTATTTTTTAAAGCAATATTCTGAAATGAAATGGAAAAATCCCATTACTTTCGGTAAAGGGAGCCCTGTGATGCTAACTTTAGAGTTGGCCTACAAACTACGTCATCACTGCACCAAAACACGTAACCAAAGCTGAGCCTGCCACAGCCTGTTGACATAATCCTGACATTAAGAAAGGCTGACGCTGGGTCGGCATGAGACTAAAGTCCTGGGTGAATAGTCACAAAAAAGAATTAGCAAAATATGCATAATAATCATCTCTTTAACTTCTGATACGACAAGATCAATATTTCATTAACAGGAATGCTTAGATGTTTATTTCTCATTAAAGAGAACACAAAAGTCAGATCAACTACCCTCAGAATGGGATTTAGCCTGAACATATATGAATTAATATGAACATAATTTATCCAATCATAGTCCTCGAAAAAACACTTGAGTGTGTGCAGTCAGGAGAGTGGACACTTACACTTATTTTTGTGGCTTCCCTTGGAACGACCTGAAACAAGAAAGCATTGTAAATCACATGTATTGAAACAGGTCCACCAATCAACAGGGCATTAGCTGTTGCATTAGTAAGTATAACATTCACATTATTAGCAACATTAACGTGTGATGTGTTTTTCATTTAGTGCAGAGAGCATACAGCGTGAGCAGAGCTGGCTGCGTACATTTCTCAAAGACGCCATTGATAACCTCTCTCTCTCTTCTACCCCCGCTGAATGTCTTAATGTGCTTAAACCGCAGAGGAAAACGCTGCGGATGTGATTGTCCCTGACTCCTCTGACAACTGAGAAAGACTGATTTGTGATGCTGGAGGGAAAATAAATTCCCCCTGCCACAATATTCTATCATGGTGGTTTAATGCAGCGGACCTGAGAGGAATGTAATGGTGTTGATAACCAACAAGTGCCCTTTCAGCAGCCAGAGAGCCATCGCCACAGAGGGAATGCTCAGGATTCATCAACAAATGCATCGCTTTCAAACACTGGGATCCTTACTTAAATAAATAGGAAACTCAAAAGATTAAAGAAACTGTCTGCAACAGGCCAATGAATACAAAAACTCTCCAAATATGTGCAGCCTTTTGATTTACCTTTACAGGCCACTGCAAATGCATGTATAGGGCACCAGTGCTGATCGCTGACAGATGCGCTGAAAAATCTGAAAAGTTGACTTTAATGAAATGTGTTGTCAACAGATTTCACATAACAGCATTAGGTTGGTTGAAAGCAATAATATTAAGTTTAAATAAGGTTCAACTTATATTATTACTTTCAACTACCTTATTACAGTTATGTGAAATGAGTTGACATTATATATCTACATTAATTCAACTTTGAAGTGTTTTCAGTGTGGTAGAAGTGCATCTGACATCATCCACTGCTGGGTAAGATCTGCTTTAAAGATGTAGCACAATATCCACTGTGCACTAACAACAACACACACACACACACACACACACACACACACACACACACACACACACACACACACACACACACACACACACACACACACACACACACACACACACACACACACACACACACACACACACACACAGAGAGACCTGCGTTATGTATACTTGAGTTCAGGTGCTTGTGCAGTTACCTTGGCTCTGTGGGCCGGAGCACTGATCTGCAGCTCGTGATGCAGATCTCCAGGCACGTCCTCCTTCAGGTACCACCACTGGATCTCCAAAGACATGGGGGCCGCGCTGACAGTCTTGAAGGCGCAGGGCATCTCCACGTCCTCTCCCTCCCCCACACTCACATCTTTAGGGACTTCGGTAAATGCAGCTTTGGTATATGATGGGTGAGGAGACACACAAGACACCAGAAGCACATTAATATGAGTGGGATGGCATGGTGGAGATGCAGTGTAAAACATAAGCCTAACAATCCAGAGTTTGGTAATCCATTACCCTGCCATCATGCAGACTTCCTCTATTTTTAGGATCTCCTCCAATAGTCCCCATTAGCTGTGATTTATAGACTAACATGGATTTATGAGAGCACATCAGACATATAAATGTGCCTCAGGCTTTATTTGATCAAATAATGGAGAGCAATCCTCCCTCTGTTCCATAATGCTGTGATGGGGGCACAGCTGGGTCATTCTGTGGTTTTCAGGTTGATTTATTGTCACAATTCTCAAGTATTAAATAATTGTAGAGAAAGAAAAAAAACTGGCTTAGTTTAAAACTAGCAGGGTATATTTAATGCTGCAGACAGGTGGCATTTGTTTTAATTTAAAGCTTTTTAAAGCCACTGTCTATTTCCGACGTCAAATAATTTCTTCCCTTCTCCATTTGCTTCATTAGCGGGACTCACTTACCATTTGCACAAATCATAAAGGGCGAATTGAGGATGAAGTAGTAAAGCAGGCTGTAGAGTCGCGTTTTTTCCATGTCACAACAAGACTGGTCACACTCAGCACGGACATTAGACGGTCATTGGACCTGGATGTATTGACTCCCGTTAATGTCAAGTCAAATAAAAATATAAATAACGCCAGATATGACCACAGATCCAGAGGCAGCGGCTCAGCCAGGCAGCAGGAACACTCCGGGGGTGAGCCAGAGCATTTTTAAACCGTAATTCAACTCAGAAACAAAAGGAACTACAGTAATTCTACAGCCAAAATAAGTTATTCAACCCTCCAGTAAAAGCAATAGCTCCGTTAATCAGCACTGAGTGTCGTCTGGAAGTGGAGAGCGAACTTCCCGCGGCTCTCCATCCCCAGCCCATTGCTCTCAGGGCTCCGCTCCAGCACCCAGCACATCCCGCTCTCTGCGCGGGAGAGGCTGCAGCAGGGGCCGCAGGGAGGACTGCCTCTGCCCGGGGCTAACAGGAACGTAAGATACACAGAGCCTCGCGAGTTTCCCTGTGTGTATCACCCACTCTCTTCTGGAAACTGCCACCGACCTGGAGCCTCCGCGGATTAGTGAGCGTCGCAAGCGCACCTCTCTCTCTCTCTCTCTCTCTCTCTCTCTCTCTCTCTCTCTCTCTCTCTCTCTCTCTCTCTCTTGCGTGCTCTCTCTCTCTCTCTCCTCCTGGTCCTTTCATCAGACGGGAAGCGAAAGAACGAGCAAGACCCATTGCTGGTGTGATAACAACCTGGTACTAAGCACACAGACATCTTGTTAAAGTTAAATCTTAGCCAGCGCCATATAGATTATATGGCGCTGATTTTAGTTATCTCTTTGTGGAGGAAAACAATTGTGACATCACTCTTACTCTCTGGGATTTGTAGTCTTTCTAGTTGCATATTTTTCATAGTCTTATATTTCAACAGTTTTACGACAAACTGTGACTTTTTTGACATGGAAATGATTTTTTAAGATTGACAAACATCATATGTGTAATTCATGGCACAATTCAAACGGGATCGAAAGATACGTTTTCTCTCTCCATTGACTTCAATACATTATTTTTCCGAAATAAGGTCCCATGGACCGGAAGTAGATGGGCGTGACTTCGCCAATCTATATAAATGTACCTTTATTCAAGAAAATATATGCACATACACATTATAATAGAAACAAAACCTTTGCATAAGGGGTACATACTGTAGGTACAGAATCAGAATCAGAATACCTTTAATAGTCCCACAGAGGGGAAATTTGCAGCGTTACAGCAGGAAAGAGCCACAGACAGCTTAGTGTTGCATATCTTAAATGCTTTACAAAAAAGTACTAAGTT